ATTGTAGTGGGTGTCACTGGTCAGAATGGATATGAGTAGTATATGTTGAGAGAAATGCAAGAGACAGTGAGGGCGTATTAAGAGCAGATCAAGATAGAAGCAGAAGAGAAAATGGAGTACATTATGCAAGTGACTATCTTAGTAGAAGGTGTATGATATTTAATGACTACTGTACAAGATGTCAATAATAAACATTCCTTCCTTCATCTCCGTCTTGTCGTTTCCACACTAACACACACCTCATATTCTTTGCTCTTATTGGTAGTAAGATTCTCCATTATTCTGGTATAGGTATTGCGTCATTCCTATTGGATGTGTTGGCGCGGTGTTGATTCGATGAACAAAGATTCACTAATCAATCTCTCACTGTCTCCATCTAATTATATTGAAACTGACTTCAGTAGTTTGATCCCACCCATTCTATTGTGTGGTTGTGCGTTAATGCATACCCTACAATAGCCGAGTATTTTTCTAGATTATTGATCTTATTCAGGTCTGTCATTCCTATGTTCCACTATTCTAACCGACCCAGATAGGCTAGCTTGATGTCATAATCATTACATGGAATTCGATAGATGGTATTATTTTGCTTAATTGGTTCTGTCGGATCCTTAAGTCAGCCGACAAAGTTTATCTCTGAGTGAGTTTATAGATTTAAATGTCAACCAAATTCCAGGTTTGTTGAGGATCTATCCTACGTAAAGTTTCTGGTGTAACTTCCTTATAGGGTAACACAATGGAGGCTGTGACCTTTCTACTTGTATTGTCGTTATTATTCATAGTCGTGTTCCTGTCATTTTTTTGTTTCTTTTGTGTTCTTAAGAGTTTCTTAATCAACTGTTGAGGATAATTATTAATTATTAGCGCTTATTTTACGTGTTTCAGTTCCTGGTTTAAGTGCTTGCATTGACTGGTGAGTTTTCCAGCTCTATCATTTAGAAATTTGAATTTTGAGGGGGTTGTGAGGATTTAGAAAATATTCCAAGTTTTTATTCATCGTAGACTGACATCAGTTGGAGGAACAAATGAAACTTGGGAGCACTGGACACCTGTTTCTTCCGACTAGTATGGAACTTCAGCAGTGCGCACCCACGACCTCACCCCTCCTTGGGTCGAATCCACGACCTTCAGGTTTCATGGCCAGCACGTTATCATTGAGCCATTAGGTCAGAATCAAATGGTCAGTATTTCCAAGTTCTGCTAGCTCACGATATAGTGCAACCTCCACCCAATGTCATCGTTGAGTAACTGTCCTCATGACGATCAGGCTTTATCCCCACCGGTCACAACTTCTCATGGTGGTGGAGGAGGAGGAGGTCGTGAGGACGGTTGTTCAATGATGACATTGGGTGGAGGTTGCACTATATCGTGAGCTAACAGAACTTGGAAATATCCACCATTAGATTCTGACCCAATGACTCAATGATAACTTGCTGGCCATGAAACCTGAAGGTCGCCGGTTTGATCCCTGTCGGTGTGGGGTCGTGGGTGCGCACTGCTGAAGAGTCCCATGCTAGTCGGAAGAAACAGCTGTCCAGTACTCCCAGGTTTCCATTGTTCTTCCAACTGATGTCAGTCTACGATGAATAAAAACTTGAAGTATTTAGCATATTTGTCTAGACCTACCTTGACTAACTGACATTGGATGAGATGACTTGAAGTCTAGATACCCGATGGAATGTGTAAGTTTTCTGAAGTGAATTAGATTGAGCCTGCTACTGAATTTATTTATATATGTGAGGAAGGTGTCGATACCGATAAAACAAGGAATCTGAGGTAGGTGACAGGACTATTATCATCAAATGTCAAAGTGGAGTGTGATTACACATTGAAATGATAATGGTCGAAATGTCATGAAGTGAAGAATACTGTATCATTCACTGTGTATTATAAATTACACAGTTCCCAAGTTTTACACTTTTAATAATGGGTTATTTTCTGAGGTGAGATTTCACTTGCTGTTAGAACAACTCAGTCTGAAGTAACTGACTGGAACAGATTCTGATTAATGTTTGGTCTTTACAAGGAATATGGAATTCAGCTGCAAAAACTTGTCTACAAGGTAATTTCATAGAGGATATATATGTCATCATATAATATGTATTGCTTATTATAAAGTCATTGGTGAATTTGTTAAGTCAGACCAACAAGCATTTGTTAGAATAGTTGATTGCTTCATGAACTTCAAGATGTCACAGAAATGTAGGCAGATTTATCTCTATTGAGATCTGTGTAAATAGGATTTGTATCCCTGAATTCCCCTACTGGCCTCTCTCGTAAGGCTAACTCACAGACCTGGCTGAAGAAAGACGAAAATGGCAAGCTTTTATTCAATATTGTGATAGATTGTAGTTCCTTTAGTGACTAGCAATGAAATCCAAGACGTATGTTTCGTCTTGTTCTAGAACTCATGAACGTGAATTATGTTCATTCTAATATGGACAAGATCATTCACTGAGAGGCAAGTACTGCAGCTGGTGACTCCCATAAGAAATGAAACACAAGCTCCTGGATTCTACTGCTAGCCATATGCAACCAAGATATAGGAGTGATTAACTCAGTTCCTTAGTATATGTAGTCAAAAATCAAACGTTGGCACAAGTGTTGCAGGAGTAACGACAATTTGAAGAAAAACAAATACAAAGTGACCGGTTGTTGATTCTCGTGAACAAGACCTATTTTCAGCCAAATGTAAATAAACACCTGCCTCTTGTAAAACTCAAATCTCCCTCGCAAGAGTAACGCTGAACTTCGACGATGGAGAATATTATCAGCTAAGGAAGGTGGTTTGTGATGGCATCCTCCTAAAGTTTATCCATCAGTTTTGTACAATACCATGATTAACGTAGTGCTGAAATAAACAGGAATCAAGAATGGTAAATAGTCACGTAATTATCTTATAGATAATATAAATAAAGAGGAATAGAAGGAGTTTGACAAGGTGAAAATTGTTGGAAAATGAGAAATACAAAGTGGTTGAGTGTCGACTTGATAGACAGATAGATAGGTGTAAAGAAGGTGAAGAATGAGACAAGGGTCATTCATAATGAAGGTGATAATAACAATAATAATAATAATAATAATAAACTAACTGATTATAATGAAATCGAGGGAAGATTTTGAAAGTGTTAAGACCTTGATAAGATAAGAGATTTAACACACTTATTTCACATACAGGCATCAAGTTTGAATTGATGAATTACCAGTGCTTCTGACGTGGTCTACAACTGTCGAACGCGTACTCCTTTTGAACTCTACTCCATTTGACTCTATAAACGATACTGAAAGAGTATTCTGGTTGACCTGCATGTCCAGAGTTGACCAAATGTTCAAGAATTGAACTGTTAGTTGATTTATTTTCTCCCCTCGACAAGCATGCAGGATAGTGCTCTGAGATACATTTGGAAAGTGTGCACATTGTCCAGCCTATATAACTAGCTTCCACAGGAGTAAGCAAATTTGTGCGCACTACTAGCACGAAACAGCTGCCAAAACCAACATAGTTGTTCATTTATTTAACTATTTGGTTGCACTGCTGTAACTGTTTGAGAAAGTTCTTGAAGCAGTTAGGATGTTACCATTTGGATGTAGACCTCACTATACCGATCCAGTGACATTATCTTGAAGTATACACCATCATGTTGTTGGGATGTGAATATATGAATCTGTAACAAGACCTTCGTCTTAGATTTCTGTGATAAACACCACACCAAAAAACAAACATCATTACATGACAGTTGTATTTTCTCTCTTAACGCTAATCAATAAGAAAATATCGAATTATTGTTTATGTTAATTTGTTTACGAATAAATTTTTTCTTTAAAGTTGAACGATTTTTTGTCAAACTTTAGAAAATGTTCCCATTTTCAGCCTTCAATGATTTATTGACCATAGTCTAGTTACTTTCTAATCCCAATTCAATAATAGCACTCACTTATTATTGGTCGGTTAAATATAATCAGGAATAGAAAAATTCAATTATATTTACATACAAAGTTGATCTTATATTGACAGGTAATAATCATTTTACTACTATAGGAATCAATTATCCTCCAAAAAAAGCTTTTTTCATTCCTTTACGGGGGAAAAGACAGTAAATTATATTTCAAGTTGTTATTCATCGCAGACTGATATCAGTTGGAGGAACAAATGAAACCTGGGAGCACTGGACAGCTGTTTCGTCCTAGTGTGCGACTCCTCAGCAGTGCGCACCCACGACCTCACCCCTCCTTGGGTCGAATCCACGACCTTCAGGTTTCATGGACAACAAGTTATCATTGAGCCACTGGCTCAGAATCCAATGGTGGTTATTTCCAAGTTCTGTTAGCTGACGATATAGTGCCACCTCCACCCAATGTCATCGTTGAGTAACTGTCCTCACGACGATCAGGCTTTATGCCCACCGGTCACAACTTCTCATTGGAACTTCAGGAATTACCTCTCGAAGCTAGACAGCAATGAGCACCAGTTCAATTGAATTTTGGCTACATATTTTGTTTTTCAAACTGCTTAAAAATATATATATAACATTATTCACGTTTTTATAAGGGACAATAGTGTGTATAATCATGATTTGAATTTCTAATTGTGCGCCAAATAAGTGTGAATGACCTAGAGATTTACTTTTTCAACGTTGATTGGCTAGATTTTGATTGGCCAGTACTGATAACCAATAAAATACAAGTGTTCGTTGTTATGATAATATTCGGGTAGATATTATTTGGACATATTATTAAATAGAAGAGTTTAATTGGTTGTCATTTATAACTATTTTTAGTATTCACAAACTATTTCTTTAAAGGAGAAACAAATAAAGTAAAATGAATTGTATACATTATATTTGAAAAGAAATACGCGGTTATTTTCGTGTTTACATTAAAACTTACCTGTTCATTGTTCATTAGTTTGGTGAATAAAACACATTTTGATGTTTTTCAGACTGGAATTATTATAATTTTAAAACAATAAATATTCTTTTAAGAAGTGTAAAGGCAAGAAAATGGCTATTAAAACAAATCATCCACAGATAATCTTATATTGGATGGAATTAGTAAGTTATATAACACTTTTCCATATAACGTTTTTATTGATTATCCTTTCATGTTATTGGTATAGTTGACAAGTTGTTAGTTAAGTGAGAGTGTGAGTAGTTACTTTGGATCTTTCTATACCCTCCAGAAGTATACAATGTATGTATGTATCAATGAAGATATCATACTATTCTGGAATATTGTAAGATCATTAGTGTTTAATGCGATCAAAGTATGGGCAAGTTAACCGAAACCAGAGGGGATTATAAGCCTTCAGAAATGAAGGTGACTTGGGTATGTGTTGTACATACCTGGTCACTGCCTACCTTCACACACACACACACACACACACATTCTCTCTCTCTCTATGTGTTACTTCAAGTCGAATTAGGTTAAAAGAAAGTTTAGGTTAGTCTAACCATGACATGGCAGTAACTTATGAAATTTCTGAGCTCATAAGGGTGTGACAGAGTATAATTTCGATCTCGATGTTATTTTCATTGTTTATGACAATATGAATCAGGCGTCAAAGTTGTTTGACATCTTCAGCCAAGCTCATCTAAATATAAATTTTAAAATTATATACCAAAAAGGAGGACAGATTTAATTTTTTGGATCGAAGTATAAGATGGTGTGATGGCTAGATGAGAAAACTAACCACAGGAAAGATACGTGGATTGATCAGTACCTTCATCACGATCTCTTCTATCCTATAAACATGATCTTCCTTAGAGTAAGAACACTATGCTCAAAAGACAAACATGAAGAAGAATTCAGGAATTCTCCATGAAACATCGAAAAGAATTTATTGAGAGACATAAATATCTAACTGTTGAGAAAAAAGCCTGTTTTCCTTCATTTACCATTCAAAGATGATGAGGAATCCAAAAGAATAGACAGAAGAATAAAAGGTACTCTGACTATGAGCTTTCCTACTGGCAGACTGATCTCAGTTTAAAATATAGTATGCTCAATAACATAGTCGAAAGTAGACAAATACTCATCTCATATCACCTCCAACTGTGTGCATCGATTTCCTTATACATCGTGGAAGCAAGTACATAAGATGGACAGAAGGGCATAAACTGGATTTCCGAGAAATCTGTGTCTGGAAAGCCGAAAAGTGCTTACCAGTGCAGTCGTCAGGGAGATAGTTTTTAACCTAACCTATATACTCAGAAAGACACTATAATTAACCTTTTTTCATCGTGGTAACTGTATATAATCTCACAAATGTTTGTAAACATCTTTTGTGATTGCATCATCTAATTATACATTACTTGTTGATTATTATTATTATTATTTGTCCCTTGGGTTGCTAGTGGAACATAGACCTTGAGTAACACGTCTCCATTTCATTCTCTTCTCTGTAGTCTTTTCAACCTAGCTACACCACTGCCCATGATCTCCTCACTGTTACCCTCGGACTCACAACTCATCATTTCCCCTTTAGATTCCACTCGACGGCCTAGTATGTTGTGTAGTGTCTCCGAATGGTTTTCTCAGTGTATGCTCAATCTATCTCCAATTTCTTCTACTGCGTATTGGTTGGGCTATATGTTCTTTTGTTGGTTCGTTCCCGGAGTTCCTTATTCATTGCTTATTACCTGTTAATTACGAGTAAATTATCAACTTTTTTGTTTACACATCTGTTTGCCTATTTGTTCCCTGTTTCAACAGCTTCAGAAATTGCTATCTCATCAGATGTCTATAAATTTGCATTGATTGTCGTTACGATTTGTGATTAGTAATCTCGTGTTTCCTCGGCTTACTCACTACCTTATGATTAATGCTGGGTTTCGAATATCTGTTTATTATTGCATATTTAGGTTATATTATGTCATTATTATTACTACTAATATTTCATCAGTATAACTAACTTGGCACACACTGATACAATATTCTTTTCTTCGAATGACAACGTTTCGAGTAGAATTTAGCCCGGTCATATTCATATGAAAGTAATTACACAACTTTTATAGTCCATCAACTATTCATTCTTTTTTAATGTTAATGAAATTCTCCTAATGTCTGTGATGTGTAATAATGAATCATTCCTGTTACATTCTTGTTAAATGTTAATTGATTCAATGAACGATAGATCCTATCATCAATGTCATCCTTTCACCCATCAATTAGTGTGATTACGGGTCATTGAATGGAGAGTCATAACGGAATATTTCCGTAAATTACTCATCTGACTTGATTCTTTTATGCTATACACATATCTCTAGATCTTTTTTTCTCTCTATTCTGACTGTCCGTAATCGCCTGCATAGTATTTAATTGTCTCTACTGGGTCTCTCTCTGAGTGAGTTAATCGGCTGAAATGCCAACACAATCCCCAGGTTGTTACAATAATAATAATAATACTCATATTCCTGTGGAATTGATAAACAGCTGAATACAACTCACGCCCTAGATTTGTAAATATTTTTATTTAACAATAAACTCAATGAAAATTCATTACGTTTTCATAATTCTACTTATACATATATACATACAGATAACCTATAAAGCAATAAAATGTCAGTCATTTTGTATAATATGAAATTTTAATTTTAATTAACCGTATTCATGTGTCCTTGGCAAAGAGTCGAATCTAAACAAATATACTATATATCAATAAAAATATTCATTCAAAAAGGGAAATAAAATTTGATTAAACATTCATGTGAGTAAAGCTTTTGCACGATTCATTTAACGGTATTTCCTGTAGCTCAGGTTACTATTCTCCTACAGATGAGTCAGTCTATTATTGACAGTTGAATTTGAATAACAACTGTCTAATACGAAACAGGTAGTGAAGATCTAAAATCTAGCTACTATTATTAATATTTTCCCCTTGGTTTCCTAGTGGAACATAGCGCTTCAGTAGCACGTCCCCATTTCACTGCCCATAACCTTTTATTTGTTCCTCACATGATCTCCACCATGTCACTCTCAGCTCAGACGCCCAAATCATCGCTTCCCATTCGGCTTCCACTTGACGATTTGGCCTGACCTGGTGCATGATGTCCCCGAATGGTCTCCTCAGTGTATGCCCAATCCATTTCCCCTTTCTTACACTGCATATTTATTGGGTGATAGTTTCTTGCTTTGTTGGTTCGTTGCCAGCCAGCCAGAGTTCCTTTTTGCTTATTCTTACTATTCTGGCCATCTGATCTTCAGTATCGAGCCAGTGTAGGCGGCAGTTGTTGATGAATGTTTGTAGTATGGTGGAAGTGTTTTTCGTAGCGCGCCAGGTTTATGAACTATATAGCAGCACTGACTTGACTGAATTAGTGTTGAAAATCCGGATGTTGTTGACGCTTTATGCTGAGTGTAGTAGATCTCCACACTGATTTCAGACTAATGCAAGAAGGCCTGTCTCCGCCACCGCCGCCTGCAGTTGAAACGATGCTGCCTGGTCAGGTAGGTGAAACAGACTACTTTCTCCAGGTTTCTCAAAATTCAGCTACTACTCACCCTAACTCCTACTGTACAAAGACAAATGTCTAAGGAACATATCGCCCACTGGCAAGTAACCTACAATTCCAGGATAACATTTAATTCCGATATTTTCCTATAAACGACTGTGACACTTATTTCATGATTTAAGTTACCTTATCAGAAACTATCTGTTGAACTATGGTAATGATGGATAGTGGCTAGCAGTGGAATCCAGGATGCCCATTTCTTCCTATTAGGGACTCATCAGCTGGACTTACCTTCCTCCCAGTGTGGAGTGATGTTATTCCCACCAGACTACTAAACCTATACCAGTCACACAAGAAGTGGCTATTGTGACTCGGTGGCATAATGGATTATACTGTGGCGTTTGAAGCCATCGTTTCCGAGTCCAAATCCAAGTGGGAACAACATCACTCCACACTGGGAGGCAGGTACATTCAGCTGATGAATCCGAAGTGGGACGAAATGCGCATCTTGGATTCCACTGCTAACAATTATTCATCTTTACTATAATTAGAACACAGATAGTATCGAGGCATCCGCATACCAGCCCATATGCTAGTAGAGACTGATCAATTCGATCCAATTAACGAGGGTATAATATAAGCAACTATACTATCTGTTGGACTGCTTTTGGAGAATCGTGTGCATTGACAAGGTCATCTACGCATTTCGACAGTGACACTATTCTAACTATCATCGAAATACACTAGTTTCAATCGATTTAACCAATGAATTTGGTGATTGGTTGGTTCCACTTGATAACCAGAATTGCTGGTTGAACAGTCTAGGTGATATGGTTCTGAATCGATCCAGTGATCAAGATGCATTCATACATTATCTTGTTCAGTATTCTGTAATTCTGTCTCGTTTCGTTCTTATAACCTTTTATAGGTTTTTAGCAGTTTTCGTATTCACTTGTCTATATTTATCTTGGGACCTTCTAACTTAATGTAGTGATACAGGATATGATAACGTGTGATGTTAAGTAATAATTTTAGGGTCTCATGTTTAGACTGACTGACAAAATAAACTGTTGTAGATAAACTAGACTCAACTACATCATTTTGACATTGAAAAATTAGATATATGCCTGGAAATCAGATGAGCATTAAACATCTGCCTCATCTCTACATCAATCTCCTCATCACTATTGACAAGTTACACATTCCAGAGATGATAAAAACTCCATTTATTTATGAGTTTCTTCTGAGGAAGAAAATGCTAGTAAACTACACCTGTTGGATGTTTTGCTAATCAGAAGAGAAGATGGTTCACTCAACAGATGTGTTTCCAGGAAGACCACATCTATAAGTTAGTATACATATTTTCTAAGACATACGAATTCGTTACAACCATGGTTAAATGTCTCACTAACACAGAGCACGAAAAATATGTTCGAATGATCTGGTACAGTAGGAGTTAGATTATATCTGTAATTTTGAAATAGTGGAGAATATTTGTAGCTCAGGTGGATGGTCTTGGCTGTATTGTGTTCTCTGAGCTAGGTTGTTTAATCGTGAAGCTTTCATCGTCCTTCTAGACGATATCAATAGAATAAATACGG